TTGAGTTCCTAAAGGGAACAACATGAGGGAGGCAAAAATCAACTTGTGTGACGTTTGGAGAGGAAGCAGTAATAGATTGAACATGCCAAAGGTGACTTGTGAAATTTCGCTTGGGTGGTTTTTCTTTGAAAAATGAACCCAGATCAGGAAGGCCATCAAATACCAATGACGAAGTATTACAAAGTATGATCATGACAAATCCAACTTTCACTTCTACAGAAGGGGGCTACAAGTTTGGAATTTTTCAGACTACATCTTTGGATTACATTAAAAGGCGTGGTTTCGTGTCCAAACTGTATTGTTGGGTCCCACACGAATTAAGCGAATAATTGGGAAATGTAATAGACAGAATTTCGACATGTCGTTTAAATGTTGCTCGTTACAAATGGTAACCGTTTTTGGACCACTTAGTAACTGGAGATGAAAAATGGATAGTGTATAAACACGTGATTAGAAGAAAAACATATTGTTACATAAGGGAGACAATTTCCACATTTAAAGCTGATGTGCATCAGAAGTTTATGTTGTGTTGTTGGTGAGACAGTACGAGTATAGTGAACTAGGAATTGCTGAAAGAAAATGAAACGATCGTTTCTGTTCGCAGCTTCATGTTTTGAATAAAGAAATTCAACGTAAACGTCCATCTTTGGCCAAAACAAAGGTGTGATTTTTCATCATGAAAACGCTAGATTATTCGTGGCAAAAAAGATGTAAAAAATTGCAAAAGTTGGGTAGGGAAACTTTACCTTAGCCAGCATATACTCCTGTTGTTGCACCGTTTGACTATCATCTGTTCAGGTCGCGGCTAAACTTCTTTGATGGAAATGAATGTATAAATGAAGAGGATGTCCAAATAGCAATGAAAGAAAACTTTGTCTCCAAAACAAATGACTTCTTTTTCAGGGGGTTAGATAAGCTGCCAGAAGGCTGACAGTCATTTGTAACTAATGAAAGACATATTTTAGATTAAATTTTAAATAAAAAGTTAGTTTTTCTTATTATTTAATTAGAAAAAAAACCCAGCAGAACGTTTCCTTATACCCAATACATGTTACTCTTAGAGGAAGGAAGGAACTATAGTCGATTAGTTGCGGTCATGAGTGAGTGTGTGTCTATTAAGGCAGCACTATAAAGCAACATGACGATCTCGATGAACCTCCTTATTTTGAATTTCGGTTAAGTGAAGAGGACGATACATGTACTGGCATCCACCGTTTCAAACTACCACACCACGCCAAAGGGAGGACTTTGAGCCCCGACAAAATTAACCTGCATCAGGCCATGTACACTGTGGGTCTTCGCTGACTCTAGGCATCGAACTTAGGACCTAGAGTCCATGAGCTCGAGACTATAGTTACAAAGACTGCGGCCACGTTACGGTCATGAGTTTGTTATTTAGGGATATTCAAATTAAGCTGTAGGTGTGCATTCAGTTCTTATTTTATCTAAGACCTTTAATGTTGAATAATAGAAGGCGTTTTTCTAATAAATTGAAACCTCAAATCTTTCATGTGGCTGGGAGAAAAATGTAGAATAATTTAGATGTCATCCTCATCATTCGACTGTGAATCAAAATGCGAAGAATCACTGTCTATAGTTGTTTCACAACTATAGACAGTGTGTGTTGTTTGTTTAAATCAGCCAATTGAATATGTTCGAACATGATATATTTGTCTAATATCCTTAATCTATTAGGCTGTTTTTCAATTCCTGCTATTATAGTTCACACTCTTCCTATATATATTTATTTATATACATAAATCTTGCTCAAAGTTTCAATTGTTAATAAAATACTTTTTATTCATCCACTCAAATTCAAATACATTTTTTAAATCTTGTAGTGGATGACACTTGATATTAATACAGTTTTTTTCAAATATTAATTCATTAGTTCTATTTAATTAATGAATAAATAGTAACGAACAAAAAAAAAATTGTCCAACACCATATATAAAAAGGAAAATCTCTCGTTGTGTCCCTGTAGCGCAATGGATAGCACGTTGGACTTCTAATCCAAAGATCGTGGATTCGAATCCCACCTGAGATGCCCTAATTTCTGAGAATGGGATTTATTTTTGTTATACTATTTTATTGCAATAATTAAATTTATTTAATTAATGAATATTAACAAACAAAAATAATAGTCCAACAGCTTCTATAGAAAGAAAAATGGAAAATTGTGAGGAAAATCTCTTTCTATGTTGCCATTTTATAGTGTGATTCTGTCATATGTATATTAGTTGTAATTACTTAATAAAAAGTAACTAACACATAAAATTTTCTTTATTGCCCTAAGTGGGAATTCTTAAACACATTTTTAATATATATATTACTTGTTATTCATACAAAATCAGCAGGGAGAAACATAAATATTTATTTATTGCATTATTAGAGAATTATTAGGCATAATTTCCTGATCGAATAGAGGCTTTTTATTATAAATTTTTGAAATAAATTAAGCATGTTCAATGGAGCTATATTTTGAACTTTTTTACTTATTTATACTCTATCGTATTGTTCTACGATTAATCGCTATTTCTACAATATTAATTATAGCTTTGTTTTAATATATTTATTTTTTCAATTAATACATCTAAAACTGACAAGGTTTAAAGAAAAAAACTAAATCAAATTGTAACAGATCATAGAGGGAACTAAATTGAACTGTTAAAGCCCTTAAAACATTTTAAAATATAGTCGGAAAATGTTGCGTTCAAGATTTAATAGGACAAATAAGTTTAAATGAGAATATTTAATGAGAGGAGAAGCGAAACTTACTAAATCTTTTATGAGTCCCCTACCTATAATAAGTGCTCCAAAAGGCAACACATACATGCGATTAAGTTTTCCATACTCAGGATATATATTTTCACATATTTAAATCTTTATATCCTGAATAGATCTAATTCACCAATTTATACACTAATTTGTTTCAGGAAAACTCCCATAGCTTGTGTTATGATATTTTTTTGTATAACAAGTAATATATATATATATATGTATATATATATATATATATATAAATTAAGCCAATTCCTACTTACGTCAACAAAGAAAAATTTTATTTTAGTTACATTTTATTAAATAATTACAATTAATATAAATATGTATATACATATGAAGGAATCACACTATTAAGTGACAAAACAGAAAGTGATTTTCCTTGCTATATAGGGTGTTGGACTATTATTTTGTGTGTTACTACTTATTCGTTAATTAAATTTAATTATTCCAATAGAATAGTATAGTTAAAAGAAATCACATTGCCAGAAATGAGGCCATCCGAGGTAGGATTTGAACCCACAATCTTTGGATTGGAAGTCCAACGCGCTAGTCATTGCGCTACAAGGACACAAGAGCGATTTTCCTTTTTATACATGGAGTCACACTATTATTTTTGTTTGGTTTTTTTGCTCTTTAATTTAATTTAATTAATGAATTAATATTTTAAAATACTGTATTAACATCAATTCTCATCCACTACAAATTTTAAATAAATGTATTTGAACTTGAGTGGATAAATAAAAAGTATTTCATTAGCGATTGAAAATTTGAACAAGATATATATATATATATATTCATTTCATATTTTTCTTCATATTTATATTTTTTTTTCTTATTATAGAATAAAGGGCATCTTACATTTACGGATAACGGATATTATTATTAATACGTACAGAAATATACAAAAATATACTTAGTAATTTTAGTTGGCCTGGATATTAATATAAACACATTATTACGTTCTAATAGTTTGGTGTTTTTTGTCATTTTATTGTGCAATATAGGCTCCTTATGAGTATGGTTTTGCTGTTGGAAAGAAATACGGAAATAAATTGTGCTTGATATATGATGTTGTTGTGTCCTTCCCCAAGGAAAGGAATGAATGTTGTCAGAGCATATGAGACAAGTTGGACTTCTTTACGATAGATGGCGACACCACCTATCTCCACCTCCGCAATTCAGGCACGGAACTGGAGGGGAGGGAAATATTCTCCAGGCCGCTGCACCTGTGGTTATGTATGATTTTAAAACAACACAATGCTAAAACCAAGTGTTACAAATTATGTGTAAAATTGTGTAAATAATCTATATTTGGATGTGTAATGCATTTACATTTCTCTATAATATATTTATTCTATGTTAAATTATAATACTCGCAAGCAACACCGTCCCATATGATATCCAACTACCCGAAAAAAGTGAATTTTGCCAAAAAGTGGCAATTTTTTTTATGATTTTATTTTATAGTCCATCTTATTAGCCTTATTAAGATACCAAGTTTATTATTTTCAGTTCACTAAAATAAAAATTACAAGTAGTTTAGTAAAAGCAAATATCATTACTTTGAGCAAGATGTGATACTATAAAATGCGTTTTACTAGGAATGTGTTTTTTTGAAAATGCTCAAATGGGGACAGCGTTTGTTAAAAAAGTTTCAAAAATAATTAACTGAAATTTATTGTGTATGTTCTGTATAATAGTAGAAGTGTTTTAACCTTCCGATTTATCACTAACTTATTTATTATAAAATTTACATTCCCTTATGCAAATATATAATCACTGTTTTTTTAATCAATTTCATAGAATAACTGAGATAAAGTCCTCTAGTTTTTGTAAAAATTAAAGTATCTCTTATCCTGGAGGTCATTTCAAAATTGAATATGATAGCAACACATTAGATTTGAAAAACTGAAAATTAGTCCATAAACTATAAGTACAGAGTGGGCCCTGTTTCTGTTACTTTTTCTCAATTTTTACTCATTTTAGTAGTAATAATTTATTTTTCTTTTCTTAATTTCAGCAAATTTTTCTTAAAATGTACTAAACAAATTTAAAAACTACAAAAAAATCCCCATACCTCCATTCTTTTTAAAAAAGAGTTGTTGCAAATAGTCGGATACCCCCTTAAGTTATAATGGCGATTATATGGGAACTTGGCGAAATTTTAGAGATAGAGCCAAGTTGGCATCATTTTTGCCGACCAAGTTGGCCACCATTTTTGGCGAGTTCATAACCCTGTAGATTCTTCTAGAAGTTAGTGCAGAAATGCACTAATTTCACGATCTATGACGAAAGCGGATCTTTCTCGAAGAACACGCGAGACCTATAATTACAGAGACGGTCACCGGAACTGAGTTAACATTGCTTTGACTAGCGATTAGTAGTTTTGCCTTTACCTTGTAGAGTCGAATAGCCATATCTCGGCTTTTGAGTAGGACGAGCTGTGCTTGTGAATAATCTAACAAACTTGTATTTTAGACACTGATATTGTGTCTTAGTGCTGTGTTGAAGGTGTGAAGTCCTTCTGATATTTATTCTGCGAATATTGCTGCCAAATCCTGTTTTTCAAGGACTGGATTTTCGACAATAAATTATCATCGCTCTTTAAGAACTGTCTTGTTCTTTGCAACTGATTTGCATAGAATCCTCGATCCCTGATCAAAGTAACACGGTAGTGAAAGGACCTTTGATTAATTCGAAACAAGAAACATACCATATTGTACTGAGTAAATTCAACAGTAAATAGCACTCAAAAAATATGGAGGAAAGTTTTTTTTTCATAGAATATAGCCTCGTTGAAAAAAATTAGTGAAAAAAAAATTTAATAGTACCATTAGAATTTTTCAAGGGAAAATAACTTTTATTACTTCTTAGTTTCAATAATGGATGATAAAAGTTAGTAAAGTAACTCCATAAGATAAAAGTTTCAGATGAAAATTAAAAGTAATCAGGCCTAATTTTATATAAAAATGAACTCTAATAGGGAATAGATATTATTGATAAGAGAATAAGATACTACATATGTATGCCACAGAAAAATTTACTGAGCCCAGGGATGTTAACTTCATTTCGGAAAGGGGGGGTGAAACTACAAACAATTTTCAAATATATATAATTCTTTGAAATTAAAATTAAATCATTCGAATCTTTTATACATTATTTATGAAGGGAATGAGGCTTCAAAAAAGTACAAAATGTTTAAAATATAATCATAATTTTCAAAATTATAAGCCTATGAAATTAAGGAACATTTCTGTAATATGTGTTAAGTAAATTTTGTGTTGCGCGCGCTATTTTCTAAAATATTAGTCTTTGATTTATAAAACTTTAAAAAATTATAAAATATACTATGCTCGTTAAACCTTACCTAATTTTAGTATTATATATCTTTTGTCATTCAAAATATGTAAGCAATATTCAAAAGTAAAAAAAAATATACATATATATATAAAAAGTCATCATTTTATTTTTAAAAAATATAGTTTATTACTTTATTTATATAAAAATAGCTGCAGTGTAATAGGAATACATTTAATATAGCCTTATAAATGGTAGTGAGAAATAATATTTGAGAATTATTTGTTTCTCTTCAGTAGATATTTGTAATCCTGTCTGAAGAAAGAAAACAGTTAAAAATGTAGGAGTAATTAGTTTCAAACTCCAATATCGATTAGAGCTAATATAAAAGCTTTGACAAAAGAACACCAATAAGTAAATATCAAATATTTACAAAAACTGTTAAAAAAACAACCATCCACTTAATTTTTTAATTCCTCTCTACTTTTATTTCTTTCTCTCTCTATATATATATATATATATATATATATATATATATATATAGTAAAATAAATAAAAGAGAAGGAGTATTAGAACCTACAGTGCTAAAGCAGGAAGAAATTGGAATTCACCAGACACAACAAATGTAAATACAAAAAATTATTTCGACTAAACTGGAGACTTATTAGGATTTCTTAAGCTGTCGCTGAATTAGGCCAGCGAATTAGGATTAGCAATGCTTTATGGATCCAACCTTCCCCATACAGCAGAAATTTTCGACATAATAAGGGAAAAAACACCCAAGTTGAAAGGTTAAGCCTAATATAACACGTGGAAAAAAACCCTGATAATATATTAAAATGAAATTAAGAAAAGAGAACAATAATGAATCTCTCAAGGAGAGGAATAATAAAAAAAAACTTTTATATAGAAAAAATAATTAGGATAAAAACTTACATGTAAAATAAAAACTGGAAATCGAAAATTCAACATTCTACGATAAGATTCCACTCGGAATGAAGTAAAGGATTGAAACGACTACACGATATATATATATATATATATATATATCATGTTGAAATTTTGAATCGTTAATAATATACTTTTACTATTCATCCATTCAAGTTCAAATACATTTTTTTAAACTTATAGTGAATGACACTTGATTTTAACACAGTTATTTTTTTTTTCAAATATTAATTCGTTAATTAAATTTTATTTTTTAATTTTTAATTTATTCTGCTTTATTTCTGTCGTAATTTCAACTATCTGCAACAGATGAAGCTAGTACGTTTTCCTAACGAAGTAGGAAATGATGTTAAAATTTTTATATATATATATTGCTTTAAGGACAAAATTTTGAAATTCATTTACAAAAATATTATTTAGGAATTATTTACATTAAGAAGTACTATCATATTTGTAAATGACATTGCAAATACAGTATTCTGTGCTCTTCACCCATGCGTCATGAGCTAAAATTGCTTGTGTTTAGATGTTTTCTATCACTGCACAATTTTTATCCATGAGTTTCGAAACACCCTGGATATTATATCTCTAACATGTACCAGCTAGTTTGGCATCTTACAAACCAAACAATTGTAGTAAATAGACCTATCTCAAGCAATTAAGAGGATAAGGACATATGAATAAATACATTTGAGGGTAATGATTACCCTTGGGATCATTTTCGCAAATGTGAAATACGCCAAACTGTGTTGATACTTACTTTGAACAGAAAAAAAAAAATGATAGGTTTTAATTTTTCGGTTTTATATTTGACATTTTTTAAGGGTTTTGACTATTTTTTGTCATAAATAATTTTAATAATTATGTTAACGTGAATTTTATGAGACTTACTCTTAAATGTAATAAATAATTTTTATCAGCTTTTTCATCATAGAATCCTTTTTTTCCAATTCCTACTATTATAGCTCACTCTCTCCCAATATATATATCTTGTCCAAGTTTTTAATCTTTTATAAAATAATTTTTATTTATCCATTCAAGTTCAAATACATTATTTTAAACTTGTAATGGTTGACACATGATGTTAGTTTTTTTTAAATATTAATTTATTAATTAGATTAAAAATGAATAAACAGTAACAAACAAAAACTATAGTCCAACAGCATATATAGAAAGGATAATCGTTCGTTGGGCCCCTGTAGTGCAACGGATAGCGCGTTTGACTTTTAATCCAAAGGTCGTGGTTTCGAATCCCACCTGGGATTGCCTAACTTTTGCGAGTGTGATTCCATTTTTACTATAATATTTATTAGAATAATTACT